TTTACATGTCATCATAATTAGGAGGTGATCACTACACTTAACATCCATTCAATTAGATCGAACGTGTATAATAATACTATCTCGCATTTCATACTTGAATGGATTATATGTTAGCTCTTCACCTCTACATCATGACATGAGATATTAAGTTCATGATTAGACGACGGACTGATAGAATTTGTACATTACTCTAGAAATATAAGTATAATTATCTCCTAATTCATATCAACGTAGTTTCATACTCTAAATATGGATTATAGATATTTTTTTATTTATTCCACGAATTCTAACTTTTTATTTATAAAAGTATACAAAATTGTTACACTTTTTGAACAATTAATTGTAGGTGTAAAATGAAATTTTAGTATTATGCACAATAGCAAAATCATGAGTATTAATAGGAATATTTTAAACAAACCGATCTCCGGATGTCGCTTTTATTAAAAGTAATTAGATTTAATAAAAAATACCGACGTCATGAGGTCGGTATCACATTAAACTTTAAGATAAATAAAAGTAATCATGTTAATTAAATAATATTGACATCAGCCGGTCGGTATTTTATATTAAATTATTTTTTAACTTGTATAAAACCGTCATTCGGAAGACGATTTATTTAAAGTTAATTGAAAATATTAATTTATTACATAACACAAAATCATCCTCCGGAAGACGATTTAAATAAAATTAAATCAAAATATAAAATAATACTGACATCAAGAGGTCGATTTTTATTGTAATTCATTTTCTGGGAAAAATTCCGACCTCTTGAGGTCGGAATTTGGGTTTCCCGCAAACCGCAAACCGACCTCCGGATGTCGCTTTTAAAAGTAATTAGATGAAATAAAAATACCGACCTCCGGATGTCGCTTTAATTAATAGTAATTAGATGAAATAAAAATACCGACCTCATGAGGTCGGTATTTTAATTACATACTATTTAATTTTACCGACATTCGGAGGTCGGTATTATAAAATATTTAATTGAGAAAAAAATCTGACCTCCATGAATTAAATAAAACCGACCTCTTGATGTCGGTATTGTTTTTTCAATTAAATATAAAAAATACCGACCTCATGAGGACGTTAAAAAGTCCCATAAAAATTAAATTAAAGTTAGTAGGTTTGATAAATTTGGATCATAACTTCCGTCTCAAAAGAAAAGTGAAAACTTAATGGGGACGTTAACAACAAGAACATGAAGTGCATAAGGTAATTACCACACCCCAAGTATTTGTATTATATATTTGGATATGAGTCATATTAATACTATTATAATATAATGGGGGTTGTGAAAGAAAATTAAAAGAAATTGAATCAAGAAAAAAAAAAACTACCAGTAACGTTTTTGGACTAGGGAAACGATGATTGTGGCTATGTTTGGATAATCTTTGGATAATGAGGGTAATCATTGCACAATGGATATTTTGTGGGTTACATATATTAGGAGTATGTGATGGATGACTAATTATCTGGAAATTCATTTTTCTCGTGTTTCTGTATTGGAATTTAACTTGTGATAATATAGGTATAAATAATTAAATTAAATAAAAGGTGTATTGTATTATATGAACACTATTAGAATTATGTTATTTGGAGGAATTAAGACTTAATCCTAGGCTTGAAATTTAGGAAGTATGAGACTTGACATATTAATTGTATCAAAATTAGGAGCTTGATTAGAGAAATAAGTGAGTGTTTGGGTCTA